TGAGAGAGTCATTGATCGGCTGCCTCCTGCACGCCCCCCACTGGGGATCGAGCCCGCAAACTGGGCCTGTGCCCTGATGGGGAATCAAACCCCGATCTCCTGGTGCCTGGGACTATGCTCAACCGCTGAGCCGCACCGGCCGGCCCTTCTGTTGGTCTTCATGAAACAATAGCTACAAGAATGTTTTATTAGGCAAGATCCCCAAGCCCCCTACTTCCTTCAAGCAGTTTTGTCAGAATCAGAACACAAACAAGTTGGTTTTAGAAAACAAAGCTGTTCCGCAAGGACTGCTAATGGGCCCTTGAAAGCCTTGTTTTGACAGGTCAGGTTCAAACAGTACCTGTGGGCAGGAGTCTCATCTCAGGAAAAGTTTTGCACCGTGATTTTTTAAAAGAAGTGCGGTCTAGAGTTTTGACAGTGTTCCCTGCTGATAATCTGTAAGCAATTAAAGAGGGCCCGCCTGAGCCCTTGTTCATGAAAGATTTACAGAAAAGTCACGGAGTAGTGGAATTCAAAAATGAAGAGCGTGCAGATAAGTGAGCATTTTTGAATAATAACATATTCAGTAAAAGACAAAACGCATTGCCTCAAAATACAACAGAACAAACAGCATCTAAATAGACATCTGGGGAGACAGGTCTCCCCTGGAAGAACTCTTTAGATAAACATGTCCTTCAGGGTTACTTTGAAAGACGAAAAACACTTCACAGGTAATTGGGTTGGCAGTGGCCCTCTTTGGAGACAACACTCCAGGGATACACACTTCTGGCCCACAAACAGCAGCATGTTTTGACAATTTGTAAAACAAAAGTGTTAGCTTGGTTGTCTCTAGTTGAGGGGACAGACTCATGGAGGAAGAAGCTCGTTTATTTATTTCTAAGGGGTCTAGGGTATCGAGGCATTCATTCCGCTCGCTGCCACCTGATAACTACTAGTTTTTTAGAATATGACGTTACTTTTGCAAGATTTAATACTTGTTTGTTTTCTTCTTAAGTTGGGGGGCCCAGCAGTAGGAAGCGAGGTCTCTGGCAGGAAGCGAGACCCACAGAATCCGAGTACTGGTTCTGCAGGAGAGACCCGGCCAGGCAGAGGCGTTCACATGCGTTCATTCCCGTCGTGTGCCAGGCGCTGTGGTAGGCGAGTCATAATTTATAATGACCATGTTCTCATAGCTGTAACTGGACAGATGTGGAAAAGGCTCAGAGAGGGTGAGTAATTTCTCCATTGGTGCACAGATAACCTGGTAGTGGAAGAAGGACTCCAGCTGAGGGCTATCAAAGGTCACCTTCTTTCCTGATCACCAGGCTGACTCATCAGGGAGGGACCTGGGTGTGATTCTAAGGCTCAGAGCTGCTCAGAATCTGTGGGGGGTCTGGTGAAACTGGAGATCCTGATTCAGTAGGTCTGAGACCCTGCTTTTTAATTAGCTCCCAGCTCACGCTGCTGACGCTGGTTTGGGGATCACAGTGAGAGGAGCCAGCCTCCAGTTCACCCTCTGCGTTCTGCTGTGGAAACATGGGGATCAGAGACCAAGAGCCTAAGAACATGAATGGAGAGCCACAGAGCTGAGCCTGAGCCAGTGTAAGTGTCAAGGAAGGTTTGGGAGGAGCCCCTTACTGTTCCCCATCAGACCCTGGAGTGGATCCACATAAAGATCAGGCACTTGCTGTGCGCACTCCTACACATACTGCTTGAGCCCCTCTGTTAACTGACCAGTGTCCCTCCCTTCCCTGTGGGACTCTGGAGTTGCCACTGCCGGGGACTCGTCCGTTCTGACATCCTAGTGTAACTCAACTGTGGTATCTCGGAGTGAGGCACGTAGATAAGGGATGGAAGGAGGCCACTGCAACCCCTCCACACCAGGGATCAGAAGCCCAAGGTCCAGGGAAAGAACGGGAAAGGAAGAGGCAGGCCTGGCAGGTGCCCACGTGGCCATCCCGAAGGCAGCCGGTACCCAGCTGCCGGGAAGCACAAGGGAGGAGGCAGGGCTGGGCTGGGCTGCAGAATCCCCCGAGGCCTCCACCACCCCGTGGCGACTTCTGACGCAGGGGCCACCATGGTGGAGTAGCTGGGTTTCCAAGAGATTCGGATTCATGCAGAAAGGTTGGTTTAGCCTAAACTCTCCTTCAGCGAGACCTCACCAAGCAACCCTGTTTGCATCTCCTTTCAGTGACTGAGTCCTCTGAGGACATCCAGGATCTTCCAGGGAACCGGGGGTGGCCTGGGGGTGGGGCATCACCATGTCATTGTGGGTGACCCGATAATTACGTTTCTGCTCTTCATATACACGTATCTACAGTGATATCAGAGACTCCCTTTGCTCCCATTTTATGTTTGCCGTAGAACTTCCAATTGGCTTGTGTAATTTGGCTTCAAAATGCTCCACTGACTAGGGGTCGGCCCTACTGGCAGGGGACTGCTAGAGAATCTTATGAAATAGTATCAGCCAGCGGCTCTTCCTGTACCAACATCTGGCTTAGAAAGGCACCTGAGTGATTTGGATCTACTGAAATGTTTTCCTAAAATGAACAAAATCTAGGGAAAGAGGTAGGTATTTTCATGGTTTTCTCACATTATTTTAACTGTGAAGGATATCAGGTAATTCAAACGAATTGCCCTACAAAATATGTTTTTAAATTACCCTATCAATAACAATCCTTACTAAGGGGCCCTAGGGTCTATAGCCACAATTTAAAATATGGATTGGTTGTCCTCTGTGCCTTAGAATATCAGAATCATCGATTCAATGAATTTATTCCCCGTATCTGTAATTTTGTGCACAAATTAAATTTTGAGAAGCCTAGCGTTATATGTTATAGACTGTTTGTACCCCCCCCCCC